GTCGCGTGGTGGATTCTGATGCTGGGGAGGAGGAGCTGGAGGAGGATGAGGAGGAAGAGGAGGAGGAGGAGGAGGAGGTGCCTGTTGGGAAAGGAAAGGGTAAGGCCAAGGCCAAGCCCGCTGCTCGTGAGCGGGCCCGCCGCCAGTAGATAGTAGAACAATAGAATTATATTCATATTTTGCTCTCAACGTTGCTGGTGAATTACGCGTGATATATAAGAGTCTTTCGCATACATTTCGCTGGCTGAGTACATATAATTCACTCACGCTTTGTGCGTAATTCACTTGCCATGTATGCGAAAATGTTGCTGTAAATTGTCCCTCCGGTTAGTGAATCCATTCGTTACTTTTCGCATACATATCTCATTTTTTCATCCGCACTGCGAGTGAAATTCGTATGCATTGCATACGAAACGAGCGAGACTTGTTCACCAAGTCTTGAGCCCCCAGTGATTCTAGTACTATAGTGGAACAACATACTTTGTGCCTTTTCTGCGCCCGAATCGGAGCTCCTCGATGATTGCCCCATCTGAGGAGTAACAGCAGTTCGAGAAGACGTAAAACTCGCTTGTTTATTCGAGCTTCTCGCGCTTGTCAACATGCGAACTTTTTCTCACATCGCCATCCAACAGCCCGAGGGTATGTACACGATGATAGATCTCAAGCTGGAAGTCGTCACATGGAAACTAAGATAACCTTACACCGTAAACAAGCCCGATGCTGATGAACGAAGTCTGAAAGCAGTACTAGTCCGTGTCGAACTGAAGCTGAACGCACAGAGTAGAGATCTGAACCATAAAACTCACATACATGTTCATCATGCTACTGTCCGGCGTGCTACTACCTACTCGAGGGCATTGCCTCCGAATTGCAGTTGACGCAAGGAGAGTTGCCATCTAGATACACAGTACGCCATCAGACCAGACGGCAGGATTATCCTCACTGCTTACCATCTACTGTCTAGCTTGACGTGGTGGGCATAACGAATTAAGGAAGATATGGCAGCGCGAGAGCGGCGACAAGAAGAGGCTGGTACATACTACAGCGTGTTGGGTAGCTACAGGAAGCACCAGGCACGAACTTAAGAAGTAAGAGCGATTCCTGACATAGTGTACGTCGAACTTCAATTACTCAAAGCTTAGATATTAGGAAAAGATACGATATACATGTCCAAACACAAACAACTTGTGAGCGCAGAAAGGTCCACCATTACCAGACACAGGAAGTGAGAAAATGTCACCGCAGCTGTTGGCAGGTCGAAGAGCCCGGTACTGGGAATCCTCAGCCGAGAGCGAGACATCTATCTTCAAGCTTTCTCGGCTGCCACTGTGGTTAGCTCTGTCCCGCGAATGAGACGTCCTGGTCGACGGCGGAGCTCCTGCAAAGTTTGGAAGCAAGTCCACTGTGGTCGTAAAGAATGAGGTAGGCACATGGGTCAGAGGGATGGGTGAGCTCGTAGACCGACGCGGCGGTGTGTTGGGTAGGTAGCTGAGCCCTGCGGTGGTAGAACTTGAAGTCGACGAGGCAGAGTTGATATAAAGTGGTCGACGTCGACGACGGTCGGCGATGCACCACACAGGGCGTGAACAATGATATACCCCTGCTTACAGATGTACCACGAATGGACAGAACGAGCTAAAAGATGGTCGACGGCACGCAAGGGTGCAAGCCTGCGGATAGACCTAGTCAAGGTAATGGCGTGTCGAGCTGAAGGTATAGCGTGTCGAGCTAGAGGCATAGCTCATCAAGCTAAAGATCGTACGCAGACTGAGCCTAGTCGTACACGGATCGTCGTATGCGGATAGGGCTATATACTAGTGCCAAACTTCGTTACACGCCATGTGCTAACGGTCCTGGATGAAAAGAGATGTACATCTTCTCTCCTTGAGAAGTTTGGTAGCGGCTGTATGCGAGGGGGAAAGACCACCCGTGAAAGGGAGTTAACGCTGTGAGCGAGAGGGAAGGCACGTTTGTAGACGAGCTCGAAGGGGGTGCAACCCGGCAGATATATGCGACCCGCGTTGGGAGGTACGTCCTAAAAGTGGTAGGCGAGGCGCGACGACGCCGCGATGCTCGAGGATGTGTAGGAGACTGTGATCGTGTAGAGCCCATGGTAGGCTGCAACGCCCCATACCCTGGTGACGCCCCGTACGTCTGGACGACTGCAGTCGTAGTAGCGCGGCGGGAACGACGATACTCCCCGCCATGAATAGGAATAAATGGACGAACGGTCGATGGGTTTCGCCACCTAGGGCCAATTTACCCGAGTTAAAGAGGAGGAACACGAGTCAGAAGAAAAACACCCGTGACAGAATAAGAACACGAGTAAAAAGACGATACGCGAGTGAGAGAAGGACACAAATGAGAATAGAACATGAATAAGATGAGGACACGAGCGAGAGGAGGACAAGACTGAGAAAAGGCCACGAGCGAGAGAGTAACAACCAACGTGAAACGGGAGGAACACGGGCGAGAGAGGAAAACAACGAGTGGGGGAGGTAGCGGAACGGTTGCGAGAAAGACACGAGTGAAAGCGGACCAACACAAATGGAAGCGGACCAACACGACTGAGAGCGGTCCAACACGAATGAGAGGACAAGACAGGAGGAGGACGAGGAGATGAACCGAAGAACAGGAAAGCGCAAGGACAGGAGCGACATCAGCGAAAGTGACATGAGCGAAAGCGAAGGGACATGAAAGGGTGAAACGAAAACGGCAGTGAAATGTCCGTGGGGGTGAAGAGGCCGCAGTGGTAAGAATGTTAAGATAAGCTTCTAGTCGAGCAAGGGAAAATAACGACAAATGAAGAGTGATAGGCGAATGGTCCGATATGCTTGATGGTTGGAAGAAAGTCGCAGTGCTAGAAAGAAATTGGCAGCATTAGGACGGAAGTCGCAGCAGTACAAACTTGGAAATCGTAGCAGTGGAAGCAAAACGAAAGCCTAGCTCAGGCTGTGTCGAAGTAGGAGATGATCGATTATGGATGGCGAGTAAGGTGAACTGGGCGAGGGGCCACAGCGCGGCAGGGTCCTCGGTGGGTCGGAAGGGCAGGAAGATGGGTTGGATGATCGGCGGCGGATGTTGAAGAGGGGGGATGGGGATGAGGATGAGAAGAGATCAGGACGGGGAGGAGGGGGCGAGGATGGAAAAGAGATGAACATGGGCCTGGGAAAGAGGGAGATGAGGATGAGGAATATGCAAGGGGACGTACAAAAGCGATGAAGGAAAAGCAGGCGATAGAAGAAAAGCAAACAATGGAAGAAAAGCAAGCGATAGAAGACAATATAGCAATAGAACAGGAGGCAATCGATAGAACAGGATGAAAGCGATAGAAGACGAAGGGGAAGCACTAGAAGACAAAGAAGAAGCAATAGCAGACGAGAAAGCAATATCAAAAGGAAAAGGCGATAGCAGACAAACGAGAACAAGAAGCAACAGAAGACGAGAAAGAAGCGATACAAGAGCAGGAAGCATATTAGACGAGTGTTCTATGGGATAGATTGGGAAAAACGGGGATGGGAAGGAAGCAATGAACGGGGATGGGCAGAAATCGATGAACGGGAATGGGCAGGAATCGATGGACCGGGTAGGAAGAGTCGATGGACCGGGATGGGAAGGGGTCGATGGACTGGGATGGGAAAGAATAGATGAACGAGGAGAGGAGGGAGGAAGTTCAAGTGGCTGGTGACCTAACGTTCCAATTCGAGCCATCCATAAAACCGGGTCAACTCGACGGGAGCGACGAACTAACAACCCCCCACTGCCTCCCTCCCACCATATGCACGAGTCCCATCGCCCATCGATCCCAACTTCGAAGGGGGATGTTCCAGCGAGAGGAAAGCTGCGTTGCGTGGATGGGCTGAACAGCTCCTATAGGTATATTATATGAGGACGGGATGTAGACGAGCCAAGGGCCCGACGCACCGAGCTGGGATAGCAATAGGCGAAGTTCTTGTTCACCCGGGGACTTGCTGATCGGGATTCAGGTGCGGAGAGGAGGACGGGGAGGGGAAAGGAACCAGCGGAAGCGGATGGGTGGGGCGACGAACCGACGACCCGCGCGTCCGGACACGAGGGACGTCGCGTTCGTGCGGAGTTCCTCCGCTCGTTCATCTCGTCCCCGAACTGCCCGTCGCGCCCCATCCCCCGTCAATGTTCGGCCCTGCGACGCTTCCCGCTGACGATCCGAAGGTCGAGGAGGAAACCGGGAGCAGGCTGCATCTGTAGCCCCGGACGGGCTTTTGGATGTATCTGAAGGATGTAAGTATGTGAGAAGACGCCGGATATCACGATGGAGAAAAAGGGACATACCGAGCTGGGAGTCTAAATGGACGCGGACTGGAGACAGACTTGACTCGTTCCTGAGATGCGTCGCTATGAAGGCGTCTAAAAGCAACCTGAAGTCAGTTCCAAAGCATTTGGGGAGTGAAAGCAAGAGGACTCGGCTTACCGAAGATGCCGATCTACATGATCTACTGAGCTGGCCAGAGAGTCTCCGACGAAGCGGGATGGGTGCGCACGGTCTCCATTATTGCGCGAGATTCCTCATGACAAACAAGTCGTGATGGTGAACGGAAGTATTGGCGGAGCAGAGGCGGCCACTCTTCTCGCGTTGGGATGGCATTAGAAGACGAGATTCGCGATTGGTGGTACTGAATGGACGGTGGATAATAGCCGTTAGACGTGAATCGTGGGAAAGCCCTGAGGATCATGGACGTTTGGCGGATTGGTGGTGGTGGTGGTGTGGGACAAGCAACAGAGTGAACACTCTGGCGGAGGTTCATTCGGCCGTACTCAACGCGAGAACCAGTCACATATGGAGGGCAGGCGTCTTATACAGATGTACTTCAACTGGACAGTACACGAGAGAAATGCGAGCAGGTTGGCTGGTACGGCTGGTAGATACACTGTGTGATTTCCTCTGTGTACAAGATTCCGACAAATGCTGGATGGACTTCGCTTGTAATTGATCCAATGCTAATTTTTGACAAGTCGTACAGGCTGGAATAGCTCAGCTGGGAGAGCAGCACACTGAAGCCTCTGCTTTCTGAAGGTCAGGGGTTCGATCCGCCCTTCTGGCACAGAGAAAAGTCGTCACCATATTTAACCATTGATCTTTTTTCTACCAGGACACAGCCTAGCCAGGCAGCTGGCAGCACTGAGCAGCCTCCTGAAGTTTGAACGCTGACAGCGGCCGGCCTGAAATTTGAGCTCTTTGCCCTTTTCAAATTTTCAACCTTCCATCCATTGTCACCACATTCATACATACTCTGTAATACAACTGGAGCATGTACTAACAAGTATACGTTGAAACGGGCACCGAGGGCCATAGTCTACGTGGCCAGCTGGAGTCCACCGACGCAGTTACGATACTCTACACCCACAGGAAGAACATTGAAAATGTGCGCGCGCAAAAAAATATTCAAGCCCACGCAACGCAGCTCGAGACTCACGTCCCCTAACTCATCCAACCACCTCCCCCTCCATCAACGGCACGTCCAATCCCACCCCCCTCCTCTTCTCCCTCCAAATCCCTGGCAAAGCACCCCACCGCGCATCTACAATCTGACCGACTACCAAACCCGAGGCAACACCAATAGAAGTTACTCAGTCGCTCGCTGATTTGTCCGGCGGGACAATTGTTCTGCGCGGTGGGGGTGCCGCCGACGTTGCGGCAGCAGGCGCGCGTGGCATTGACGTTGTTGGCACTGCCGCCGCACTGTGGTCCGAATAGAAAGATAAAGATAAGGGAGCTGGGTAAAGATGGTGTAGGGAGGGAGGGACGTACCTTGCAGGCTGAGGTGGTGATAATGAGGGTTGCGAGAGTGAGGAGTAGGTTGACAAGTTTCATGATGGTGTGACGTGTTCTGAGAGATGGCGGACTATCGTCAGTGATGTGAGATACTGAGGGCTAAAGCAAGTTATACACACCTGTTTGACCAGCCAGGGAAAGAAGCACTGCCTTGAAAACGAAAACACCCAAAGCAAAGAGGTCTTTTATGCGCAACCTTGACAGGCTCAATGGACTTCAAAGCACTGTTGTGCGAACATTCTTGATCTCTGCAAGGGCGGACCATAAGTACAAGCTTGCTTTGAGCTTTTGAAAGCTTACTCGGACGTGCAGAAGAACGCATGATGAGACGCGGCTGCTCGACTCTCAGATTCACATACCAAAAATGCCAATTTCTTGCAACATATTCACATACACGGATGTGCGAAAGGCACATAAGTGCTGGTGAATGAGTGTGTGGATTCACTTGCTCTATATGCGAATAATCATAGCTGGTTGGGACAATTCACACCCAAGGAGAGTGAAAAAAAGATGTATTAATGCTTTCTACTACGCTTCCCTACTTTGGGCTTAGCCTTTGCTTTACCCTTACCCTTACCTTACCATGGACCTGTTCCTCCTCCTCATCCTCCTCCAGGTCTTCCTCATCAAGGACACCAAGGTCCACCCCGTCATTGTCTCCACCTCCCTCAGAAGACACTGAGAAAGATGCACAGGAGGGAGGTAGTTGGCGGACTCAACTGGGACCAGCAACAGGTTCGCTGGCAAGTGCGTCTTTGGCAGCCTGCATTGCAGCAAGGTGGTCGTTGTTGTTGTCGTGAGAAGAGGGGTGAGCCGTGGACTGGGTGTGTTGGAGTTAGCGCTCAAAGCGCGTAGAACCCAGTAAAGTGACGCTGCTCTGTAGTCTGTAGAACATTCTAGATACATTGGCTACAGTATTTAAAACTTACACTTGTACCTACGAAAAATCATCTGCTGTACTAACATACACCTCTTCACCCCTACTCTGCTACTTTTGCCAATAGGGTGGGAGAGGGAGACAAATGGCGGCGAGAGGGGCGAGCGCCGCGGTACGTATTGGCATTTTGAACACTGTTCTTGCAGTTCTTGTGGGCTCGGAAATACTCCTTTGCCAGACTTTTGGTGCCCCAGTGATTTTCAAATCTGTTGAGCTCGGGATGTGTTTTTGCGGACTAGAAAGAATACATGTAAGTCTAACCGGCAGAAACATGAGGGAAAAAGCGGCTTACTGTGTTGCAAAGCCTGAGGTCTTTGTTGTAATCAAGGCGTGCAGTGTGGGCATTATGTCGGATGGTGGTCTACGCGTGGAGCTGGTGAGTGAGAAAACCTAACTGTACACCACTTCAAACGGTGTCATCCCATGTGCCGATGCAACCTGCGAGTTAATGACAACCTTGGCCAGAGGTAGGTGGTCCGCCCAATCTGTCTGTCAACGGTCCACATAGAGGTGAAGGTACTTCTCCACCTCCTGGTTGGCACATTCCATCTGTCCGTTTGCCTGAGGGTGGAAACCCAAAGTCATATGCGAGCAAATCCCAAGATGTTGAAGCAGTGCTTGGGTGAGGGCAGCGGCAAACTGGGGACCTCTGTTGGAAACAAAGCTAAGGGGTAATCCATGAAGACAATAGATTTCTTGGTAGTAGAGGTCAGCAATGCCTTTAGCGTTGATGTTTGTGGTGCATGGAATAGCATGGATCATTTTGCTGTATAGGTCAACACAGACAAGAACGGCATCAAAGCCGCACGACGGGGGTAACTGTGTGATGAGATCTACCCCGATATCCTCCCATAGCCGTGCCGGAACGTCCAACGGGGTAAGAACTGCCCTAGGGTGCCAATGGTGCTTCTTCCGAGCACAAGTGTCGCATCCTTGGACATACTTCTCAACAAAAGCACACATCCCCGGCCACCAGTAGTGAGTGTTGACCAACGCAAACGTACTGTGCACCCCTCCATGGCCTGCCGCTGGATGATCGTGGCACTGTTCTAACACTGAACGCCACAAGTCCTTGTCCGGTGGTACGTACACCTTCCCCCTGTGGTAGACAAGACTGTTATCCTTCTGCCACTCTGGTAGCCCTCCCACCAACCGCTTGAGCTCATCCCTCCGTAACCTTTGTAACCCCTCCAACACTTCCGCCTCCTTCTCCAACAACGTCCGAATACGCCCTGCTAACTCATTCTCCGGTACCTGTGAGAGACTAGTTGCTGCAATCCAAATGAAGTGCTCGGGCTGTAACACCGTCTGCTGCTGATTATCCTTGTGGTCCTGGATTCAGTGCTGTGGCATGCGTGAAGGAGTGTCCGCCTGCGTGTTGGACTTCCCAGGTTTGTGGATTAGGTGAAAGTTGAAACAAGACAAATATAGTGCCCAGCGAGCCTGTCGACGTGTGAGATCCTGTGCTCTGCTCCACCACTGAAGATTTTTGTAAACGGTTATGATCTCGAAGGGGTCTGAACTCCCCTCCAAGTACGGTTGCCAGTCCTTCAGGGCTTCAACCACTGCCAGCATCTCCCTGTCGTAGATCTCATAGTTCCGTTCCGCTGGGATCATCAAGGCTGACCTAAAAGCAACTGGGTGCCAAGTACCGTCCTCCACCTGCTGCATCAAGGCTCCTCCCGTTGCAAAACCCGACACGTCCACTTCCACTCTAGTTGGCCTATCTGGCTGCCAAAGCACCAGGATTGGCTCCTCCACAAACGCCTGACGCAGAGCGTCAAACGCGGCTTGCTGATGCGTCCCCCACACAAAGCCGGTGTCCTTCCTCGTGAGATTGTTGAGAGGGCGAGCAATCCTGGCAAAGCCATTGATGAAGCGGCGGTAGAAGTTGGCAAACCCCAAGAACGTGCGAACGTCTCGGAGATTTGTGGAGGTAGGCCAGTTGCGAACTGCTTCCACCTTTACTGGATCCATGCGGATCTTCCCCTTTCCAATGATTAGCCCCAAATCCTCGATCTTCTCCTGCTCAAACTTGCACTTCTCTGGCTGCAAGTACAGGTTGTTCTCCTGCAACCGACACAGTACCTCCCTCACCAACTTGCAATGCTCTGTTAAATCCGTCGTGAAAATCAGGATGTTGTCCAGGTAAACTGCCACCTTCCCTGCCGTAATGAGATCAGCAAAGATGGAGTTCATTAACGCCTGGAATGTGGCCAGAGAGTTTGTGAGCCCAAAAAACATGACCTTCGGCTCAAACAACCCGCGTTTGGTGGCAAACGCTGCCTTCCACTTGTCACCCTTCCGCATCCCCACGTTGTTGTACCCCCACCAAACGTCAAACTTGGTAAAATACTTTGCCCCCCGCAACCAACTGATAATATCAGCAACCAGTGGCAGCGGGTAGCGCTTCTTCACTGTGTACCCGTTAAGACGTTGGTAGTCCTGAACGAAGCAAAGCTTCCTGTCCTTCTTCTTGACAAAAAAGACTGGGGATGCCATGGGTGACTTCAAGGTGACAATATAACCTTTGCGCAGATTTTTGTCCAAGAAGTGGTCAAGTTCCTCCTGTTCGGCCGGTGACATGGGGTAAACCTTGGTGCAAATGGTCTCCGGGGCTCCCGGAACCAGCTCAATAGCGTGGTCCCAGGGCTTGTGAGCTGGTAGACGTTCCGACTCTGCCTCAGAAAAAACTGTGGCAAAATCACGGTATTGTTCCAGGATCATCTCCTCAAACAACTTTGAGGGCTTTGCCTTGTGCGCCTCCTCTGCTAACTTCTGCGAGTATGTGTAGCCCGCTGCAATCCATACCTCGTTGGTCATGTCTCCAATAACTTTCTGCCGGAGCCACTTCCAACGCAGGGCACGGTTGGCGCAAATACAGACTGGCACATCCTCCTTCTCCTCAGATGGCCGCCCTGGCTCATCTGCTGCGTCTCCAAGAGGAAGCTGGCCCAACGGCGCATCACCAGATCCACCCCCCTGGGGTAATTGACTGGACGCGCCCTTGTTAGCGCCCTCCCCAGGAGGAGGCTGGTCCGACACAAAGCCGTTAGCCCCCTTGCTGTTTGGACCGCTCTCATCTTCCTCCCTCCCCACTTCCTCAATCAAATGTCCCTTCGTGGTCGTACCTCCAACTTGGTGACCTTTGTTGTCGGGGAGCTCCTCAATTGTCCCTCCCGTGCGTCTCACCAACAACTGACCCTTCTTCCAGTTGATTGCCGGGTTCACCTTCCGAAGCCACGAAGGCCTAAGAGCAGACGCTTCCCTCCCAGGTCGGTCACCAAGAGATCAACAGGGTGTTCAAACCCGTCAACCAACAGGGTCATCCA